GAGAGAGAGAGAGAGAGAGTGGGGGGAGCAAGTGGGCGGGTGTGTGGGGAGATTTTGAGGGAGGGGACTAAATAGAAATCATGGTACAAAAGAATAGGAGGTTCAAAGAAAATCTAAAGGGTATGGTTGTGAGAATTTCAGGGAAAAGGGAAGGGGGTTCGGTGGAGGAGAGAAAGCGATGTGACGAAAGCAGTCTGTACTAGTCTAAATAATCTCCTGACATTTTATTTTTAGCCGCTGTACAGTTTTTATTTCGCTCTGTGAATTTTTCAACTCAACTGCTTCAAGTGTTGTCTTGTGCCGTCTAATTTTTACTTTTTCTCTTACTTCAACTTCAGTTCCCCCGTTTCGTCCACCAAAATTAAACATCGTGGCTCCCCCTCCACCCTCCCACCTCATGTCTCCACTCTCCACTCTCCACCTCTAACCCCTCACTTTTAACGTGCTGCTTTTTCGGAACCTTAGCACGAAGCGTTCCAAACCGCCAAATTTTCTGGTCCTATCGATTCGACGGTAGCCTGGTAGAGCGACCTGGTAACGGTAGAAAGTTTCCCGCCAAAGCTAAATTGGGCTAGTTTCCAGCGTGCCATTAACGGTCTGGGTGGTCTTTGTAATTGTGGTACAGGTTAGTGCAATGCTTGCCAGCCTCAGCGATATAGCCCACTAGTGGGCGATTTGGATTTGGTTATTCTGGAGGGCGATGGGGATCACCTAGGTAGTGACCAGGTATTTCTTAATACCCCGATTGGAAATGCATATAGGTACGAACAATTTAATCCCTTATTAGCCTTTACAAATAGTTAACCATTGAAGGTGGAAAAAGCGGGTGATGACTAAAGACAGATTGACAAGCGCCGAGTTAATGTGTATTACAGGCAGTAAAAGATATTGGGTATTTCGAGAATAATGATATTATCGAGGCGAGCGGGGAAATTCTAGTTCTTAGGATTTATAGATGGTCAGTTGTTCCCCCGAATTCCACTGTCAACGGATCAGAGATCTAGTGTTCCTTTTTTTGATTTTATTTGCTCTTCAGCTGTTCTTTTTTTAATTTGTAGAATTTTTGTCAAAATGAGAACTTATTGTGATGTTTCGTATTACTCCA